GGAGGAAGCACGTCGTTCGTCTGGTGTACAAGCCGTTAGGGTAGTGTGTTGCCGCGAAGCCAACTCGATCGGTCGAAGGCACGACCGTGATGTTCACGTGTAGTGTACGAAATGAGAGGACGAGGCCTACCGCACGCGCAGGCGTTGGCGTTGTTATGCACCTTCATCGTCGGCACCGGGTGCACCAGAAAGTATTTTCGAATGTGTCGCGAGAGTTTCTTCACGTGTGAGGCTTAGTTTTTACCCTTGTACTTCGTACTGTATATGTGTTAGTAGCGAGCACATTGTGGTGCTGGTTCCTTCGTACGTCGTCAGAGTCCCCAACCAAACAGGATCACGGAGCCCTCCCCCACGCACCTCTACCCACGTGTAACTTCTTGGTGCGTCCCCTCTCTCGCTCTCTCCCGGCGGTGTCGTTGTCCCCAACAACGCCACCAGGTGTCACCCCGGAGACGACCACAATCACGAGGGCGCCTCCTGCGCGGTCCTCCTAGAGGATACCTGCCCCAAGGGACACAAGTCGAAGCGCCGCTGCTCCAAGGACCCCGTGGGGCTCCCCTGCCGGCCGTGCGAGCGCGAGGCCCGCGCTGTGGAGCTCGAGATTGCCCGCCACGCCGAAGCAAAGGCGGCCAGGGAGAGGGAGCGGGAGGCGGCCACCGCCCGGCTGGCCGAGGCCCGGAGGGGTGCCGCCCAGGAGCGCGAGAAGCTGGCCCACGAGGCCGAGCTGCTGCGGCTGGAGCGGGAGACGCAGCGGGCAGTGGTCGACGCCGAGAGGACGCGGTTTTCCAAGGAGAACGCTCGCGCCAACCTAGAGCAGGCTCTAGCTGCTCCTCGTCCTCCTCCTCCTACTCCTGCTGCTGCTGCTCCGGTTCGCGACGGAAAAGCGGCCGCCGCCTCTTCGACTCAGAAGACCGCCAGGAAAAAAAACCGAAGGCAGGCGGCGGCCGCAAAGGCTACGAAGGCCGGCAAGTCCAAGCAGGAGACGACGACGGCCGCCCCTCGGGGATCCACCCTCTTCCTCATCGCCCAGGCGGCGGCGAACGGGAGCGCCAGCGGCATCACGGCCGCCCTGGAGGCCGTGCCGCCGGGGGAGCGGCTCCGGCAGACGAGCCACGAGCTGGGAGTGGCTCTGGGAGAATCGGCCTTCGACTGGTTCCCGCCCGCCACGACCGGGGGCGAGCCCTCGCCCGCCGCGGGGGCTCCGGGCCCGCGGACCGCCCAGGCGATGGACATGATAGCCTCCGGAGAGGTGGTCAAAGCCCGCGCCATCCTCGCGACCGTCGTCCGAGACACCTCGGCGGCCGACAACGGCATCGACGGCGACGCTAGCCCGCAGGCCGGAGAGGGGAAGAAGACGAAGGCGCCGGATCCGTCCGCGCTGTTCGCCCTGACGCTTTGCGACCACGACCTCGCCGGCGGCGCGGGGGCTGCCGCCGCTCGGCAGCTCGCGGAGCTCGATGCAGCCGTGCCACGCCTCTGGCCCGGACCTCCTGACGGCCGTCCGTGCCCGGACGCCCGAGCCTTCCCCCTCGCAGCGCTCGTACGCGCAGCTCTTTTGTCGTCGTCGTCGCCTTCCGCTTCAGCCGCCCCCGTGGCACCCTCTTCGCCACCGCCATCTGAGGGGGAGGAGAAAGAGGAGGAGCAGGAGGAGGGTGCCCTAGACCCAAAGGCGCGGGCGTGCGCTCTGGCCGTAGCGTTTCTCCGAGCACCGGCCCATGCCCGTAGGGTGGGTAGGGTCGACTCGAGGGCGTGGACCACGCGGGCGGAGGAGGTAGTCAAGGAGAACGGAGGCAGCCTCGCCAGGGAACTTTGGGGACCCCAAGGAGGGCCTAGCGGCGGAGACGGCCAGGACCAGAGCCTGGCCGGCGGCGGGGTAGAGGGGCAATGGAAGAGGTTGCAGACCAGGTGGGGCGTCTCGAGCGAGGGCATGGACTCGCTGCTGGAGATGTCGGGCCTCGACACCATTAAGGCGGACTTTCTCAGCGTGGCAAAGCTGGTGGTGATCGACAGGGAGCGCGGGTACGAGCCTTCGGCTAGGTCCTTCAACGTCCGCCTGGAGGGGAACCCCGGCACCGGTGAGAAAGCAGCAGCAGAAGCTCTCGCATCAGGGTAGAAAATTGATGGCAAATAAAACTGTTGCTGCGCAAGATGGACACGGGGGCATCATTGTGACTGAAGAAGCAGCAGCTCTCGCAACCAAGGAGCAGGGTAACAAACCCATGGCTGAAGTAAACCCTTGCCACGCAAGATTAAACACAAGTGTCGTTGAGACTTGCCGTTTCACCGGGTGTCTCCAGTTTTGGCGAGTGCGTTCCCGTCTCTCCGCTTCTGTTTCTAAGCCCCTCCTCCCTCCCCCAATACTTCAGGAAAGACGACCGTGGCCAGGCTCTACTATCGGCTTCTGAAGGACCTTGGAGTGTTCACCTCTGCAGAGGAGCGGGCGGCAGACGCCAGGGCCGCCGCGGAAGCGGCGGCGAAGAAAAAAGCCGACGACGCGGAGAAGGCTAGGCAGGACGCCGAGCGTCGAGCGTTTCAGAGCGCCGGCCTCCCGTACACCGCGCAGCAGCAGCAGCTGCAGAACCCCCCGGCGACGCCCAGGGCGTCCGCTTCCTCCACCACCACCGCCGCCGTGGCATTGGCGGCCGGCTTTATGGAGACCACGGGCGCCGACCTGGCCGATAACGGCGTCGGCGGGCTGAAGGACATGCTGAGGAAGATCCGAGAAGCCGGAGGAGGCGTGCTGTTCGTGGACGAGGTGATGCGGATTACTTTGCTGCGTGGGTGGCGCCGCTGTTGCGGCGCTCGAGAATCGAGGGGGGTGGGGTCGTGCACAACCGCCGCTTTGGGCCTCCGCTGCTTTGTTCGTCGGCTGTTGTCCGTGTACTACAGCTGTGCTTGACTCGTGTTAGATCATATCATGCAATCATTGATAAGTCGATCGTTTGATGGAGAACGCGTGGGGTTCTCGCTCCCCCAACATACTCTTTCGCGCCAGCCACAAGGGCGACGTGCGGCCACCGCTGCACGTAAACTATCGCACTCCAGGACTCCACAACAGAGGGTCCTCGCAAATACAGAGTGTTGCCGAGGTTCATTTGAGCTCATTCGTCGGCCACACACAACCAGTCTTGGTTCCTTTGAGGACACCTATGAACATGTCTTCTATTTTTTATCCACCCTCGAACAGGCGTACACGCTCGAGCCCCAGTCGGGCGGCGGCGGGAAGAAGGTTCTCAACTTCCTGCTGGCCGAGATCGAGAACCGTCGGGGGGAGCTCGTCGTGGCCTTCGCCGGCTACGCCAAGAACATGGAGACCCTCTTCGAGTTCAACGAGGGCCTTCCCAGCCGCTTCCCCAAGGTCCTGCGTTTTGAGGACTACAGCGACGCCCTCCTCCTCGAGATTTTCAAGGGGCTCATGGCTAAGAAGAAAGGGCTGGGTGCGCTCCACTTCGGTGATTCTGCGGAGCAGGAGGACCCGGAGAGGTGGGCCAAGGTGGCCATCGCTCGGCTCGGCCGGCGGAGGGGCTCCCGCGGATTCGGAAACGCCCGCGCCGTTCGGGTGCTCTTCGACCAGGTTCTCGAGCGGCAGGCGAGCCGCCTCAGCAGCGGAGACAACGACAAAGACAACGGCAACGACGACGACGAGGACGACGACGACCCATATGAGCTTACAAAGCCCGATCTCCTCGGCTGGTCGGTCTCGAGTCTCGACGAGTCGGAGAGCTGGAGGACCCTCCGGGGCATGGTCGGGCTTGGCGCGGTGAAGAGCGTGGTGCTGGCGCTGGCGGAGGTGGTGCAGACGAACCGCGTGCTGGAGGAGGCCGGCAAGCCGCCGAGGAACATCGCGCTCAACCGTTGCATGCTCGGGAACCCGGGCACTGGTGAGGAGCTTCTCAAGCTGAATCCGCGTGCTAACACCAAGGGCCTCTGTTTCTGTGATTCAAGCTTATAGTGAACCGTTGGGGTGACGGTTGTCTGAACGCTCGCGTGTCTGTCGTGCAGAAGATTTGCCCGAAACGAAGACATTTCACCAGATGAGGAGTGCGGAAGCGGGAAGGGGCATACACACACCCGTTCCATGTGACCCATTTATTATCCTAGGTGCTTACCATGGATGACACAGACAACGTTATCCCCCCGTCCTTCCTCCTGGCTGATGACACAATATTTCCAACATCACCTGATATATTTGTCTGATTCCCCAGCTCACACCGCCCCGTCGGGCGCGCCGCTAACCCAGGCAAGACAACGGTAGCAAAGCTGTTCGCCGGCATCTTGGCGGACCTCGGGCTCCTCTCCAAGGGCGAGGTGGTCCTCAAGACCGCGTCCGACTTCGTCGGCTCCGTCCTCGGCGAGAGCGAGTCCAAGACCCGCGCAATCCTCAAGGCTGCCGAGGGCTGCGCCCTGGTCATCGACGAGGCCTACTCCCTCCGCGCCGGGAGCGGCGTCGGCGGCAAGGGGGGCAGCGGCGGGGACCCGTACCGCACCGCCGTGGTGGACACGCTCGTGGAACAGGTGCAGAACGTGCCGGGGGAGGACCGGTGCGTGCTGCTGCTGGGGTACCGCGCGGAGATGGAGGAGTTCATGCGCGACGCCAACCCCGGGCTGGCCAGGAGGTTCGCTCTCGACAACGCCTTCAGCTTCGAGGACTACAAGGGTGCGTGAGAGTGTGTGATTTTTCTTGTCCTGCGGGGTGAGCGTAGCATTGTTTTGCAGTGCAGGAGATGCTTCTTTTTGTGGTCCAAGCAGTTTCGGCCATGCCCACACGGCCTAATATTCAGCCTGGAACTTCTTTGTTGATATATTCTGCGCGCCTGCCCGCCGTGTGTTTTGACCCGCTCGATCCGACAAAGAACAGACAAACACGCACGTTTTGGTTGTTGTTAGCTTGCGGTGGAAATGGGCTTAGAAGGCGTCTGTTTGGGCGGCCGGTTTTGACTTCAAAGTTCCGTTGCGTTGAGGGTTGCCCACACACGGTCTGGCCCCCTGACCAGCTGTACAGAAAATTGACGCTAGCTTTTCTCCAGGTGTTTCCGCGCAAAGGACGGTACTTTGAAAGTAGACGTGACGATCACAGGCATCTCACGATGTCAAGGCAGGATCCCTTAGTTGCCTTCCACGGCGACGGCGCTCCGTCCCGTCGCTCGCCAACGCTCACAACACATACACACCAACGCCGTACTGCTGTGCTATTGTGCCTACCGCCATTTAATTGTTATCAACCGCTCGCTACACGCATACGCACACATGAAAAACCTTGTTCTTGTTACGTTATGCGTGCCTGCCCTCCGTGTGTGTTCATCATGCAGACGAAGAGCTCCTCAGCATCCTCCGCGGGAAGCTCCGTCGAGAGCACCTCACCGCCGGGGTGGACGCCCTCATGGCCGCCGCCGACGTGCTCAGGAAGAAGCGCAAGACGGCCTCGCACTTCGGCAACGGCGGCGAGGTGGCCAACCTGCTGAGCGAGGCCAAGCTCCGGAAGGAGTCCGGAAGGAGAACCACCGCAAGGACGGCTCTTTGGAAGCCAGGTATGAAGCCGTTGCAACGTTCCTCGTGGAACGGGGGGGCGACCATGATCAATGAAATGGCTCGTTCGCGGGTGGCCTGTGGGAGGGTGTTGCCTGTTGATTGTTGCAAAAGAGGATATCCGCCGGAACAGTCAGGACGACAATGACTGCTACCGTGAAAACGCACAGTTTTTTTTCGTATTTTGGTGCGTGGACTAGGAGGGGAGGCGGCCCGTGGATGCCACTCCCCGTGCACCACGCACGACTTTCTGCCGTCGCGATTGTCCACCACGGGTCCCCCTACACAGCGGTGCTCATAGTTCCATGAGGGAGAAGGGCGATTCGAACGGAAAGCTTGCACCAAAAAAAAACATCGGGTACGTGAAGATACTCAACGGCAAGGTGCACGCGGCGCATCGCCAGCCAATAATTGCGCGGACGGCGGTGTATTGGATTCTTGTCGACCGATTTCCACCCACCATGCGCCACGCACGAAACTCCCACACAAGCAGGCTGGACCCGGAGCTCCTGCCGCAAGACTTCGATCCGGAGTACGGGGCCGGCCCAATGGATGGCGCCGCTCTCGAGGACGACTTGTTCGGCGACCTCATCGGCTGCGCGGACATCAAGCTGCAGCTGACGCGGATCCGCTCGACGTTCGTCCACGCGCAGAGACTCGGCCTCGACCCTCGTGAGGTGCGTGCCTGCTTCTCGGCAATACCGAGCGCTCTCTCTCTTTGCGCGTCGGTACGCCGTGAATTTTAAGCACTTCCAGACGTCCGGACGTCCCCAGTGGAACGAAGGATTTGATCCCTGCACGTTCATACACGTGCCCCCCGAAATGCCGACATTAATCAAGGCAGCAACAACATTTGCACCCAGATACCAACGGAAGCGGCCACATCGCCTCCTCCGTCACCCTCCCGCAATGTCCCAGAAACCTTCGCGTACAAGACGTCCTCGCAAGCAAAGTGGCCGTGTCCCCTTTCCCTTCCCCGTGCTTTTCGGCGCCCTGCAGGCCATCAACCTCAACTTCCGTTTCACGGGGGCCCCGGGCACCGGCAAGACTACGGTCGCCCAGCGCGTCGGCCGCATGTTCAAGCAGCTCAGCGTGATCCACTCGGACGACGTGGTGTCCTGCTCCCCTTCGGACTTCACCACGGGGTGAGTATCTCGGGGGGGTGGGTGGGTGATGGTGGGGTGCACTCACGTAGACAGATGCCGTCGTCGTTAGACCGTTGACCTTGCATCCACCCAATGCCGGAACGGAGTGATATATATATGCCTGCGGGGGGGCGAGGGGTGTACTCATAGTCGTGCATGCCGTTGTCGTTAGATCATTGACCTCGCATCCCTACAAAGCCGGGACGGAGCACGCCGGGTTCTCACCGGACCAGGCTCTCACATCACCAAGCGCGAAGCGCCGTGAGATATTCGGCGAGTCGCATGAANGACCTCGCATCCCTACAAAGCCGAGACGGAGCCCAGGGGGGGGTGGGGGGGCGTACTCTTACGTTTTGCATGCCTTAGCGGTTAGGCCATTGACCACGCGTCCTCCTGAGGACGGAGCATTGTTCCCACAGGACCGATCACCGATGGCCAATCGTTCCTT